AACTAACTACTTACTTATATAGTCACCAAACCTAACCTAACTAACGTACGTACTACTACTTACTCTACTTCTTACTTACTACGTACGTACAACTACTCTCTCTCTCTCTCTCTCTCTCTCTCTCTCTCTCTCTCTCTCTCCTATTAATATTCTAAGAATAAAAATACAACCCAAATGCAATACCTATGTTAAACAATCATCCCTTAGCATTTCCTTTCAACAGGTTCAATCTCTCTCTACTCTCCCATTTGCATTTCCTCTTAACAGGGTCAAGCTCTCTCTCTCTCTGTCTCTTGCAGATTGACAATCCAAACGCAATATTCATGTTAAGAGGTCATCCATTTGCACTGCCTTTTTAACAGGTTCAAGATCACCTCAGAGAGCTGGATGTCACAGAGAAAACAAAAGTAGATTGCAATAGATCTCAACCTAACCGCATAAGAAAAGAACTATGGTAGATGACATTAAACTTATTGAAAGATAAACGTTTAAGAGAAACAATTAACAGTAGCAGCAAGAGCAAGGCGGAAACCCCCCAAAAAATTTTAGGTACACAAATAACAGCTGAGAAAGACTCATATACAGATATAATACAAGGAAGAGGGAGGACAAGAGACTAAATTATGGCAAACCCCTAGTTAGAAACTGATCTACTTGTGTACAACCTGGTTTATTACATTCACATCGCCACAGTTTTCATTTGGGAGAGCGAGAGAAACGGGCAATGCATTTATAGCTTGCGAGAGAGGAAGAACTCATAATCAGATTGCCTGTTAATGGACGTAAAATCACCCTTGAGAACAGATGCCCTGGCCATCAGAGATGCTGTTTCCTCAAGTGTCCTCAGCCTTTCTTTCAGGACCTCACTCGCATCAGGAGCCTGGCCCTCTGAATGTCTCGGCATAAACCAACACTCACCCTACAAGATTGCAAGAAGGCAACAAACATACCTCCATAAGAGAGAGAGAAAGTGAAAGCACTCCAAACAAGTATAAAAATAAGAAGAGAAGTATGAGAGAGTCAAATTTGATTTGTTTCACACTAATAGATCTCAAATGGTAAATTCGGAAAATCGGAAAAAGATGACAAGCATTAATACTGGGAAGTATACAATGACCTACAGGAAAATGAAAAACCATACTCCCTCCATTGTGGTCATAACCATCCAATGGAATGCAAAGTCTAGCCAGGAGCCTCTCTTTCTCCATCACTAATCCTTTCAGTGACAGTTTGACCCCAATAGACCATGATTTTCGAATAACCTTGAGCTCTTAGTACAATTTCCCTAAAATAAACCCACAAGGTGCAGAGCAAATGAAAAGGTAGGATGCCCTTGCATCACACATAACACACCTACGAGAAAACCCTAGCACACATACATGCACATCAAAATCCTATGCATGAAAAGCACATATTAATGAAGGCAGGCATAGGTTGTACCAAATGCCTTATAATCATTCGAAAGAACAAAGAAGGATAAAACAAAAAGTGGAGTCGATTTATGATGAAACGAAGTGTAATCTTATTCTGTAAAACTAGAGTACAAGTTTTTCAATAAATGCATCCAATAAGAACAACGAGCCAAACGTTTTTTTTTTTTTTTTTTTGGATGTGCATGCTACAGAAGATGGAAATGGAGAGAGAGAGAGAGAGAGAGAGAGAGAGAGAGACGACAACGAAACGAAGTAGTAGTACGTACTACGTAGACGAGTTAGTTAGTACGTACGTAACCCGTAACCCGAACCGGGAACGGTAACAACAACGAGTACGTCC